ACCACCAGTGTTTGGCAGCTGACTTACTTTCTGCTTATTGTACTTGCTTTTGGGAATGGTTTGCTGTCTGCAGCATATGGATCACTGCCAAACAGACTAGAGTGCTTCTGGGTTTTCTATTTCTTCTTTTGGATTTAATTGAATTGCCCATTTCTAGATATTTTATGGGATACTTTAAAGTATTATGGAAAATTGGAATAATGAAAAATTTGGGGTGGGGTAGGGTGAAATGAAGGTAGCCTTCCAGAAAAAAAAAAAAAGTCTTCTTAGCAGAGTCTCTGAAGAGAATTTCTTTGGCTACCTATCAGGCTAACCATCCAACTTCAAGATCCATGAACTACCATGGAACATGGGATACCAATCCACCAACAAACATAATCATGTAGAATATTTATCACAATGAAAAGATATGTATGGTAAATGAAGACATGAAAAGAGTAGGTTATTATTAAAATAAGCACAAACATAATATTTATATATGATCTCAATTTATTTAAGGCCTATTCCTAGTGAAAATTTAGGTATAGATTAAAATAGAAAAATATATAGCAGGCTGTAGAGATGGCTCAGCCATTAAAAGTTAGGCTCACAACCATAAATATAAGATGTATAGCAAAGAGCTATAAATAGTAACATTTTCTATATGTCTTAAAGATGGTGGGATTTGAGATGGTTTGGGATGTTATCATTTGTTTTTTTCCACCCATTTTCTAAGGCACTTGAAGTGAGCATATATGGCTTTTAAGAAAGTAGGCTACCACTGAGCTAAAGCCCCAGACCCCACATTTTAATTAATATATTTAAATTACATTATTTGTTTACATTTGTAGCACAGCAGGGTGGTGTATGCGTTACGATGCATGAGTGGAGGAAGGGGCAGGTGGAGCTCTGATTTTGATGCCAGTCTGTTCTACAGAGTGAGTTCCAGGACAGCCAAGGAAGGCTACACAAAGAAACCCTCAAAAAGAGAAAAAAGAAAAGAAAAGACTGCCCCCATCGGGTACAGCCTTGCCAGGCCATACAGGAAGATGATGCAGCCAGTCCTGATGAGACTTGATAAGCTAGGGTCAGATGGAAGGGGAGGAGGACCTCCCCTATCAGCAGACTAGGGAAAGGGCGTAGGAGAAGAGGGAGGGAGAGTGGGACTGGGAGGAGACTAGGGAGGGGCAGCAGTGGGGATACAAAGTGAATCAATTATAATAAATAAATATATAAATAAAATTAAATTTAAAAAGAAAAGAAAACCAAAAGTCAGAAAACAAAAACAAAACAAACAACAAACAAAAAAGCCCTTCCAAAACGAAAACAAAATAAAACAAGAATGACCAAATATCCTTGTTTCCTTGGGACCTTCTTCATTTTATCAATGAAAGTAGCATGTTCAGGGACTGAGGGGAGAGTTCAGTGGTTGAGAGGACTGACTGCTCTTTCAAAGACCCGGGTTCAATTCCTAGAACCCACATGGCAGCTCACAACTGTCTGTTAATTCCAGGATTGGACACTCTCACATGGACATACATGCAGGCAAAACATCAATGCACATAAAATTAAAAATATAAATTCTACAAAAAAGAAAGAAAGAAAAAGAAAGTACCATGTTCCAAGGAACCACTTGGTTCCAGGAAAATTGGAATAGTTGGTCTTCCAAATGGTCGACATATCAACAATGACCAGGAGATGATCTCAAGGTAGGGTAGCAAAAGACTGTGGATACAATGGCAACTAAATAAAATGAGGTGGCAGTTGTCATGGTGACTGTGGTACAGTCTGGTAGACAAGATGGCAGATTGACCTGGGCTCCATGGGAAGAGCCATGCTGTCAGCTTTCACAAGCAGAGCTTTTCTATCTTCTCACTGCTGCTGTAACCAGTAACTCCAGGGTGCTGGGGTAAAGGGCATCCCAGGAGTAGCAGCTGCAATTCCAGGAGTGACACTACCATGGCTACCTCCCCGGAGTTCTCTTATCTCACCACTTGACACTAGGAAGCGCTAGCTGAGCCCTCCAGACCCTTGTTGGTTTCCTAAGACTTTTCTGGGGCTGGAGTGACCTTTAGTTCCTGTCCACATTATCCCTAACTTTTCACTAAACACGGAGGAGTCTCAACACTTGAAAAAAAAGATCAAAGTTTTGTCGAAGGAGAAGAATCAAGGTTTAAGGGTCACACATTCACAATTTAAAAACTAGCACTGAGGGCTTGGAAATGGGATTTAGTGACGGGGTGCTCACTTAGATTCATAAGGCCTTGAGTTCCGTCCCCAGTACCTCAAGACAAACCAAACTAAAGCAAAATAAATCAAAACTCTAGCACTGTGCATAGGAAGGGAGGTTTCTACAGGGCTGTATGTTAGTCAAAACAGGTATCATGGTTCACTGGCTGGGAAACAAGTTTCAGTTAGGTTTGAGGTTTTGGCAAACTGGGGTCACTCCAAGTCTATGGTTCCAACCAGCTGAAACTCCTTAGATGCGGTTATGGTGAAACACCAAATGGTGTTTAGTCGTGCCATTTCCTAGGCAACTGTGACTCTAAGAGGGTGTTGTCCCCTTATACCTCTTCACAGCCAAAAGCCACTTTCCCAGAGCGCTGTGGGTTCTTGAAGCCAGGCCCTCCTCCTCCCCTGGAGAGCTGCGGTCCTCCCAAAGCCACCCCAAGCCCTGCTTTCTCTTGCATTCCCCGGGCCTCGCTCCCACACAATCACGTTTCTCCTACTATCCCGACTCCCAGTGCTTGCCTCAGCAGCACAGAGCTGAGATCTACTCTCTGCCAACATTTCTGCTTTCTCCAAAGTCTGCATGTAGTTACAACTCTGCCTTGCTGTGTGCTCACAAACACCAGTTCTCTGGAGGAAAGGAGTGTGTGTACCAAGTTTGGCTGCAGTGACAGTGTGGCTGTCTGTCATTTCCTATATACAGCCATTCACAAGAGCAAAGGGTGGCTAAAATGGCTGGGGGGAGAGGGTTTGGGCCATCTGGCACGGTACAGATAGGGCTCTCCAACACGTTTGTACTCTTAATGTCCCCTCCCCTCCTCTTCTTTCTTTTTTTTGTTTTTGTTTTTTGTTGTTGTTGTTATTGTTTCCATACTTTAACATATGCATCTTGAAAGAGAAGCAAAGAATATCTTGGCTTTGGTCTGACGATTTATGGGCTGACAGATGATTGTTTTTTTTCATGGTATATATCATCTCTGATGGTTACTTATGATGTATTTTTTAATCTTTAGGTCATGGGAATGTCACACTGATCTGTTGGAGAGAGGCAAAGAAAAAAACACAAGGAATGTAATAGAAGAAAAGCATGTACCTTTGCAGGCACTAAGCGCACACTGCCTGCCCAATACAAAGCTTTTGACCATGTATCTTGCTGATGTCTTAGTTCCTCTGCCCTGCGATATGCTCTGCTTCTATCCTGAAGCTCTCACTCCAGGGCAGAAGGAGTCGGGAGGATGGTATTTGGGGCACTGTCTTAGATAGGGGCACTGCTGCTGGATAAAACATATGACCAATCAGCAAGTTAGAGAGGAAAGGGCTTATCTTATTTAGCTTACACTTCCACATTGCTGTTCACTACCAAAGGAAGCCAGGACAAGAACACAAACAGGGCAGGAACCTGGAGGCAGGAGCTGAAGCAGAGGCCATGGAGGGGTGCTGTTACTGGCTTGCTACTCACGGCTTGCTCAGCCTGCTTTCACAGAGAACCCAGGACCACCTCCCCCATTGATCACTAATTGAGAAAATGCTTTACAGCTGGATCTCACAGAGGCATTTCCTCAACTGAGGCTCCTTCCTCTCTGAAGACCGTAGTTTGTGTGAAGTTGACACAAAAGCAGGCAGTTTAGGCACCTTCTGTTTGTTGTGGGCATCAGCGGGCCCCATCTCTCTCCAACATCATGATACTTTGTTCAAGGTTCACTACCGACACTTAGATAATAGCAGCGCGTGTTTGAGAAGTGCATGCTGGTACAAGGCAGAGTACCTTCCCTGTATACAATCAACTCCTGTCATCGAGACCTGTTCTCAGGGTTTCTGGCTACAGAAAAACACACCGAGTAATCTCTAAGCCTAACAGCCTGAGCCTGCAGCAAGATAGGGGCATGTTCGAAACACCACCAAAGGTGGCTATAAAATTAGGCCCCGTAAGGATGAGACTAGCTGATGTTTACTAAACACGTGACTGATTATACAATAATGAAAAAGCCAGACAAGAATGTCCATTGTCCAGTAATTCCTTTCCGCAGGAAAGATATAGGATAAGCTTAAGAGTGCTTCTTGTCAGGGAACCTTGGAGTTATATAAGTACTAACATGTGAAATCTTTTATACAGAGACAGTTTTGGAGAGTCCTATAGCCATTTCTCAGTGTAGCTCACCTGGCTCTGTGTTTACACCTTCCTACATTTTAAAGTTCTCTCTTCCTGTTTCAAATTGTTTCTGTGGAAACGCTTTAGGTCCAAGGTCAGATGTGATGTAGGGGAAGGTGGAGCTCCACTCTCTTCACTCTGTTTCTTCATCTAGAAACCCTAACCTACATAAGGTACTCTTTGGGCCCCATTCTGTTTCTCAGTCCGTTGCTGAATACTTTATCGTTCTGGTATTGTCTGAAAAAAAATTCTGGCATACGAACTCCTCAGAGAGTATATTTACATCTTAAGGGGTGTATTTTTACTTCAGTGTAATACTAAAATTTGCAAAAAGAGCAAACAGAAGCAGTACAAAAAAGAGCAAACTGTTTTTACCTTTGATCTAGATTTTTGGATGTTTGCTTGTTATCTTTGTATGTCATACACATACACATTATCTCTGACTCAGTTGAGTGTGCAGACATCATGCTTTTTTTTTTTTAACTACCATAATTGACCTTTGTTTTCATGAGGCAATTGATTTTGACATTTGGCACAATTAAGAGATGATTGCTTCATGTCACAAAGTCTCCGAATTGAATGTGTTTATGTCACCAATCCTAGAACAGGAGCTTCAGAGAAGTGGGCCAGGGGATCCTCTTACCTGGTGGAAATGAAGTCTTTTAATGGTCATGTTTTCTCAGGAAAAGGTCATTTCTACCATCTTAGATGTCCAAGTCGTCACTTGCCCTTTGCTGTAGGGAAAGAAGGAGACCTGAGATCTTTTTTCATATTCCCTGTTGCTCTGACAGGCTCCCATCTCCAGCTGCTTTTTCTGGTCCCTCTTGGACCAGAACAGTACCCTTGGGCTGTTCCTCAGACTCACACTAGCTCTCACAAATAAATCCACTACCTCTTTCTGTGCTTTCTCACAATGCCATTACCCTGTGATCTTTCTTGGTTTTGTGAATAGGAAACATGGCTTCCTACAAAGCCACATCCTACGGGGGCAGGAGGGGGTCAAATGTGTTAGGTATACTCTAAGCAGATAGGACACTCACTTCAGGGCTCCCTGTCTACGTTGTTGCTTTCCGAACAGCCTAGGAGTTGAGATTTTTATCTCCAGGGCTTCTGCCCTGTCTGAATTCTTACCTCATCACTAATTGGTTACGTGACTTTGGAAGGTGAAGCTCACTGGATTCATAATTAAATAGGTTAATACTGGGAAAACCCTGGAGCCTGGTTACAGTAGGAGCAATATAAATGTTGCAAACTGCTTTGAAAGGGTAATGGGTGGGAAGGTTTGGGTTGGCACATAGTTCATTACAATGTGACTTTGTAGCCATATGTGCAGCGGCCAGAGGCAGCCTCAGAACTAGAGTGTTCTCTATGGGGCTAAACACAATGTCATATCCTAACATAAAAATTGGCTAGATTTTCTAAAGATCAGAAACAGCCTATGAAAGACCCACATGAGGTGAAGAGCAGTGGAAATTCTTATAACTGAGAAGATTCAAAACTGATTCCCTCAGGACTTTCCCCATTAGCGTTCACAATAGTTCTAGTAGGTCAACGTGGCCGATGCTGCCAGTTGACTACCAATATCTTTTACAAAAAAATGCTTCACTTGGCTAAAAACATGCTCAGCCAGTGAGTACATGTCACAGTTTCCCAAATCCTGGTTGGCAGGAAGAATGTGAGCAGAAAGGAAGTGTGCTGTTTCCAGGCTGGGTTTTACAAACAACTTGGCATTTGTGACTTTGACCGTGTTCCCAGGGGCTGGCATGCAATTATAAGCATGTGATCTGGACCTTGTACTCAGAGATGGAAGTATGGAGTTAAGGATGGCACAGTTGCCTAACCACCCTGGAACCTTCTGGGTCTCAGGTATGAGAGAAACAGTGACAAATGTTTAAGCAATTTTATTTGGTTGTCCTTTTTTTTTTTTTTTTTTGTTATAGTAGTTACAGCTAATGTAGAAGGTGTTTTGAACTCCACTTTACAAAAAGAGAAATGGAAGTTTAGACGAAGTACCTTTTGCTGAGGCAATATAACTCAGTCAGTAAAGTGCTTGCCTTGGAAGCACGAGGAGCTGAGTTCAATCCCAATACCACGTTTTAAAAAGCCAAGTGTGGCAGCACGTGATTGCAATCTCAGTGCTGGGGAGGCAGGGACAGATAGATGCCTGAGGCTTACTTAAAGAGTTCCAGGCCAGTGAGAAACCTCATCTTGAAAAACTAAGCTGAAGAGTCGGCTCAGTACACAAGAAGGCTTGTTCAAGCATAAGGACCTGAGTTCAAATCCCCAGCACCTATGTAAAAAGTAAAGCATGTGGCTCTTGCCTGTGACATCAGTCTTGAGAGGCAGGGCCAGGAGAATCCTGGGAGCTTGCTGGTCAACCACCCTAAATAAATGGTGAGTTTTAGTGTTTGTGAAGATCATGTCTTAAAAGAAATAGGAGAACAATAGATAGGATAAAATATCCTCCTCCAACCTCCACATGTACAGGCATGACGACATGCACCCATACCCCAATACACACACATACACCTGCACACACATACACACACGCACATAAGACTAAGTAACTTGCCCCGGTCAGATCCCATACCAAGTGTTCTAATGTTAGTGTGGGATGCTTAGCCGGGTTCTTCTCTATTTTGCCTCTCAAAGTTCTGCTCATCTGAGTTTATGGAAATAAAGGACAGAGACACTTGCTCTCCCACAGATGACAGTGCCAGCTGTAACCAATGGCTTCCCTCAGTATCTGTGTTTTTATAACTGTTTATGTGCTCATAGATACCTCCCTCTTGAATCCTCCACCTCACCTAGCACTGGGGATTGAATTCCATAATATGCCTGGCATGCGCAAGGCAAGCCCTCTCCCACTGAGCTCCATCTTAGTGCTCTCTGTCAGTACTCAATGTGTTGACTTGCTGGTGAAATTTTGTCAGGTTTGTCTGGTTTCTGCATCGAAAGTTCAGCCCAGGGCCAAGCACAGGTACACCGCCTTGCAGCACAATACCTCAGACACTGGAGAAAAACCTCTAGGCCAGGCACGTCATGCCGGCCATTAAGGCCTCCGGCGACTAAGCAGGAGTTAAAGCCAAAGGTCAACACAGAGGTCAGTGCCCTGGTAAACCCGACAAGGTTGCACCTCAGTTATGGATGTTGGCTTGCTCTCCCAAGTCCGAGAGACACCATAATACCACCGTTAAAGAGCTCATGCTTGCGGGGTAAGTTGGAGGGAACCACTCCAGACCTCCGTGACTCAGAATCCCCACTGTTGGTGCTGTGCTTGACACCGATTATTCTCCATGATTCAGCAGCTGCCTGCCTCTTTCTATTGCCTCTTATGCTCGGGCTAGTGGCTTTTCTGGGTGTTCCTACAGCAGCCATGTTCTCCCTTTCTCAGTCCCCACCACACAATTACTGCCTTGCTGCATGCTCACTTCATCTCTGTCAGCGCTATATAGACTGGCTGTCTTTACTCACAGACAAAAGCCTAGGACATGGCAGCAGACAGGGTGTGTGAATTCTGCACGGCTGCGGTGGTGGCTGAACATAATATGAAAGGCCTATCTCTTCAGTGGTCTAAAGAATCCACTAAAATATACAGCTGTATTAGATCCCGGTTGATTTTGAAACAGGGTCTCAGGTAGCCCAGGCTGACCTGAAACTTAAGTAGCTTTGGACCCTAGATTCTCCTACCTCTGTCTCCTAAGTGGTAGGACTGCAGTCATACGCCTCGCTTGGTTAGATTCTGAAGTATCTAATAAAATGTGTAACTCGAAAATATCTAGAATATACCTATCCATCGTTTAAATCTTAACCCCAAACCATACTCTGAGGGCCAATGAGTGACAAAGAACATCAGGCAAAATGTTGCAGGAGCATGAACCAAAGGTGACTTCTGAAAATGAACCCCAGAGAAACAAATGAAAACACAGAGAAAGGAAGTAACTATACTATTATAGCAGAAAAATTAATAATCAGAGGAAGGGAATGAGTAAAAAACAAGAACAACAACAACAACAAAAAACTGTTTTGCAAATTCCTCAACTATGGGGAGGGAAAAATAACAATTTCTATGGAAGATACAGAAATGAGTTGAGAAAAACTTCATCCTGGAATGCTTAGTGAGGAAAGCAGGCCGCGGGGCTTACTTAGGACATGGTTCAGTTGGCAGAATGCTTACCTAGCATGCACAAAGCCACCCCCTGCAACGCATAAACCAAGCATCGTAACACACACCTGTAACTCCCAGTACTGGAGAGGGGGAATGTGGCGGTTTGAATAAGAAATGGCTCCTTTAGGCTCATGTATTTGAGCACTTGGTCTCCAGCTGGTGGTGTTATCGGGGGAGGCTTAGGAGGCTCAGCCTGCTGAAGGAAGTATGTCACGGGGGGGGGGGGGGGCTTTGAGAATGTGTAGCCTCACCCCACTGCCAGTTCCCTCTCTCTGCTTCCTGCTCAGTTTGCTGTTCCTGCTTCAAAATGCCTGCTGCTGACCAGTGGCCCTCACCCCCCTGCATTATGGATTCTGGAACCATGAGTCAAAATGAACGATTTCTTTTGTAAGTTGCTTTTGGTCATGGTGTTTTATTGCAGCAATAGAAGAGTAGCTAACATGAGAAACATGAATATCAGAAGTTCAGTGTCAACTTCAACTACATAGAGTTGGAGACCAGCCCAGAATACACGAGAACTTGTCCCAAATACAAACAAACAAACAATTAAGAAAAGCATGATAGTCTACATATTTTATACCATCCATTTTAAGTCCCCCACTCTTATCCTCATGTATTGGTAAGAGATAAACATTGGTAAAAAAGACATTTAATGACCACCTGGGAAAGGTTTTTGGTATATTAGTTTGCAGTTTCTTAGCCTCGCATGCATGCATTACGTATTTTTTTTTATTAATTACACTTTATTCACTTTGTATCTCCCCATAAGCCCCTCCCTCTTCCCCTCCCGAGCCCACCTCCCAAACCCACCCTCCCTCCCTCTTCTTCACGCATGCCCCTCCCCAAGTCCACTGATAGGAGAGGTCCTCCTCTCCTTCCTTCTGATCTTAGTCTATCAGATCTCATCAGGAGTGGCTGCATTGTCGTCTTCTGTGGCCTGGTAAGGCTGCTCCCCCCTCAGGGGGAGGTGATCAAAGAACAGGCTAACCAGATTATATCAGAGGCAGTTCCTCTACCCATTACTATGTAACCACCACTTGGACACTAAACTGCCATGGGCTACATCTGTGCAGGGGTTCTAGGTTATCTCCATGCATGGTACTTGGTTGGAGTATGAGTCTCTGGGAAGACCCCTGTGTTCAAATTTCTGGTTCTGTTGCTCTCCCTGTGGAGTTCCTGTCCTCTCCAGATCTTGCTATTTCCCACTACATTACATATTTTTAAAAAAGCAGCAAGCTGGGAGTGGTGTGCAGTCCTGTAATCCCAGCTCTGGGGGAGGCAGGAGCAGGCAGAACTCTGAATTTGAGGCCAGCCTGGTCTACAAAGCAAGTCCAGGACAGCCAAGACTACACAGAGAAACCCTGTCTCAAAAATAAAAAAAAAAAAAACAAAAAACAAAAAAATCCCGAAAAACAAAACAAAACAAAGCAACAACAACAAAGAGCAGCAAAAGGAAAAGTTAGTCTCTCTCAGAAGTAGTAAAGCAGGGAGGATGAGGTGCAACATTTGAGGCTACAAGCTGCTGCCAGACAGAACACTAGTTTCTTCAGAATTAGAATTTTGTCTTTTTCCCTTGCTTCACAGGCATGATTCATGGTGCTCTGAGGATGGTGCTGGGTGGGTGGGGGGGCATCTGCACCCTTCCCTCAGAGCCAACGCTCACTGTAAATTGAAGTATTTCTCTTTTCTATTGTGTTTTCCCTCTCCTCTCCACTTTACCTCCTAAAGTCACAGTGAAGAGTATGAAATTGAAATGTTTCTGTTTCTGTTTCTCAGAGAGTGGGTGGGCTCAAGACCCACTAGAGTAATACTCTAGTTGGTGTGACTGTTCCTGGGGCTTGCTACTCCCATTATCCAAGGCATACATCCACTCCCTCTTTACCTCCACTATCGAGGAGAGTTTTATCCATACAGGTCCCTAATTGAATGTCTAATCTCAGCCGTTTAGGCTGGGCTGTAGATGTCCTGATGTCAGGATTAATGACACTGGTTTGTGCCAGTGTTTTTCACTTCATTGAGCTTTGAACAGAGAACAGCACTTCTGAAACAGCAACTTTATTCAATGCCAACAAAATACTCTTGTTTATATGAATAAAATGGGAGCGAGTTGGTTTATTGAATTCAGTGCTTGTAATTATCTTGAGTTACCAGAAAGATCAGGCACTTGAAGCGAGAGGAGATTTTTAGAGGTGTCCCTACCTAAACTACAATTAAATTGTAATCATAAAAAAATGATGGGTAGGAATTCTGCTTAGGAAGCCAGTATAAATTCATCACCGCTGTTGGAAGCATGTGCCTTATTTTAAAATGCAAGACATGACAAGTTCGGAGCACACCTTGTTTCTCTATTCTTTTTTCTTGTGGAAATCACTCCTTAGGAATCTAAGACATCAGTAACAGAAACAGAGAAGAAAGAAATTAAGAAAGAAAGAACCCAAAATCAAACAAGACACATCCATAGAAAGAGCAAAGATGAACACATACCTTAGGCCTCTTTTATTTACTTGTTCAGGTTTATTCTAGCTACAGAGAAAAGGTCTGTCTTGCTTCTGTCAACACCGACTTACCTGACAAGCCACAGGCTCTGGAGATGAGTGGACAGGACTGGAATTTTGATTGTGTCTGTCGGTAATTGTGTGACTTTGAGCAAGTTGTCGATTTAACCTACCTTAGCTTTACAGGCCATATAATAAGCACAGTATTAGTATATAACTTCCAGTGTTGCTGGTCAACTAAGTAAATACATTAAAAAACTGAGCAGTTGAACAGTCCCTGACATATAGGAAGTACCCAAGAAGTTCTAACTTAAAATTAGCATTGCAATTAACTAACTAACTAACTAACTAACTAACTAACTAACTAACTAACTAACTGTGTGTGTATGTGTACAGGCGCAGTCATCAGAGACAACTTTTGGGAGTCAGTTCTCTCTTTTTACCATGTGGGTCCTGGGTATTAAATTCAGGTTGTTAGTCTTGGCTCCTTTATCCACTAAGCCATCTTGCTAGCTCCATGTTTTCTTACATTTTTTTAGTTTTCTTTTTGTGATGGGGCTTCACTCACTGGGTGAGCACTCTACCACAGAGCTCTATCTCTCGTTCCTGTGCATGAATAGGTGTGTGTGTGTGTGTGTGTGTGTGTGTGTGTGTGTGAGAGAGAGAGAGAGAGAGAGTTGGTCAGAAGACACTTGGCAGCTGGTTTTTCCTTCTGCCTCATGGGTCTTGGGGACTGACCGCTGTGGTCTAGGCCAGGAATTTTGCTGACCCCATGGAATTTTCAATATCATAGTCACTGTCTTCTTGGGCTTCACATTCTAGGGACAGTATGGAAGTAGATATAGCAAAAGACTCCAATGATCGGCACGGGGCATGGACTTTTTTTACAACTGTGTTAGGAACATTACAGGAAAAACACAGTAGAGAAGAGGAATTTGTGACTGGTTCTCCAGGGGACTGCAGGCATTACACCTCTACCACCGAGACTCTTATTATCACAGCTTTGTCAAATCAAGAACAAGATTTGAAATTTCCTCAGTTCCATGTCCACGCTCCATAATCAAGGTGAAAACTGAGGTTTAATTGGAAAATGGCATCTCCACATGTGTACCAAGATGTTTAAAGATAAATTTGGCAACTGAGAGAAATATTTAATCTATTGATTGAAGTGAAAAATAATCTGCAAACTCACTAAATAGTTACATTACTAGTAAATGTTTTACTTTCTAGCTTAGGTTTTTTTGTTTTGTTTTGTTTTTGTTTTTGAGACAGGGTCTCATATTCCAGTCTGGTCTCAATTGCACTGTGTAGCTGAAGATGACCTTGGACTTCTGCTCCTCCAGTTTTCACCTGGGAGAGTTGGGCCTGCACTACCGCTAAACAAGCACTCTTATCTTCCGAGCCACATCCCCAGAATCAACATAGATCCCCTCCCCATTCAAGGAACAAAGGTAAGGAGCTTTTCATTACTCTTCCTCCTCAGGGGAGAAAAAACGGAAGAGCCTGCCACTGCAGTCAGTAGAGGCCACTTTGGCACAGTGGGCAAAGTCACAAGTCAAGTTGTTTCTCACAGAGGAGAGAGCCGCACCAAACTGTAGTAAGAAGTGTTTTTTTATGGTAAATTAGCCATGCAGTTTGGTAAATGATAATCCAAGTGTAAGAGAAGATGAAGAAGAAGAAGAAGAAGAAGAAGAAGAAGAAGAAGAAGAAGAAGA